CGAAGGGAACTGGTTCGGGGAGACACGATGAGGCAACCAACCGCACGCGTTATCGAATAATCGGTATTAAAGTATCGATCATCTTTCTCCTCCCTTCGAAATCGATTCAATCTCTCGATCGTCGGTCGAAAATTACTTTTCCCCCTCCCCTCCTCTCGTGGAAACGATCGATTCAGGCTATGCATATGCGCTTATATACGCGGTTGAATCTTGTTTTCCAGATGTATCCAGATACCATCGATGCTTTATCTGCTTTGTTTACAATAACATATCGCGATGGATTAGACTATCTTGTCGTCGTGCGCGTTAATCGAACGTTTTACCGCGTAATTCGCGGCGTAGAAATTTTCTAGGGAACGGCGGCGGCCACGTGGAGGAACGAGCACTCGACATCTGATTCGAGAGATCAGATTCTCGGATTCTGAGTAAAAGTGTATGTGTATATATGAATAGGTGATATGATGGATAGGATTCTTATTGAACTGGAATTATGTTTCGAATGTTTTGGAGTTTGGAATTTTTTAAATTGAGAAAAAGCGAAACAAAGTCTTGAAACGAATAAAATTCTCCCTTTCCTCTCGATCCCAGAAGAAGGAATAACGATGAATAACGATGATCGTGCCCTCCTCCCCTTGACGTCACACATTTGCGTACGATAAATAAGAGAAGAAGAAGAAGAAGAAGAAGAAAAACGAAGGGAACTGGTTCGGGGAGACACGATGAGGCAACCAACCGCACGCGTTATCGAATAATCGGTATTAAAGTATCGATCATCTTTCTCCTCCCTTCGAAATCGATTCAATCTCTCGATCGTCGGTCGAAAATTACTTTTCCCCCTCCCCTCCTCTCGTGGAAACGATCGATTCAGGCTATGCATATGCGCTTATATACGCGGTTGAATCTTGTTTTCCAGATGTATCCAGATACCATCGATGCTTTATCTGCTTTGTTTACAATAACATATCGCGATGGATTAGACTATCTTGTCGTCGTGCGCGTTAATCGAACGTTTTACCGCGTAATTCGCGGCGTAGAAATTTTCTAGGGAACGGCGGCGGCCACGTGGAGGAACGAGCACTCGACATCTGATTCGAGAGATCAGATTCTCGGATTCTGAGTAAAAGTGTATGTGTATATATGAATAGGTGATATGATGGATAGGATTCTTATTGAACTGGAATTATGTTTCGAATGTTTTGGAGTTTGGAATTTTTTAAATTGAGAATTTGGGGATAGAATTCTGTTTCAACTTGGATCCTGGAGGAATTTGAGCTGGGAGTTGTGAACAAATTTTGGATTGGGTTAGGTCACGAGGTTTCTTGTTGAATGTTTTGAAGGAAATTTTTGGATTGGTTTAAACTGGAAATTGAGAAATTGGGGATAGAATTCTGTTTCAACTTGGATCTTGGAGGAATTTGAGCTGGGAATTGTGAACAAATTTTGGGTTGGGTTAGGTCACGAGGTTTCTTGTTGAATGTTTTGAAGGAAATTTTTTGGATTGGTTTAAACTGGAAATTGAGAATTTGAATAGAATTTTGTTTCAGCTTGGATCTTGGAGGAATTGTGAAGAGATTTTGGGTTAGGTTAGGTTGAAACGAATACTTTTCTCTCTTTAAACTTTGCGAAGGGTTGTTCCACCTAAAACTATATTGAAAGAAGAACGACGAAGTAAGGAGTTCTTTTTTAACGAAGAAAACTTTTCAAATTGCTTCTGACAATATCTGAAGAAAGTATAGAAAAAACTTTTGAAAAAAGTTGGTGATAAGCGTTATCAATCGACGTGTGATTTAGAATGTTTACGAGAAAAGTCTCGTATGGGTCACGTAATATTTAATTAACAATTAATATCGAATAAAAGTTAAATGAAAAGTTAAAAGTTAAATAAATAATATTTCTCGTCACATGACTTCTGTTGTTAGGCTGTTTTATCGAGGAATTAATTGATAATTATGATAATTAAGAATAAAAGTATAACGAGTTCATGTTTATTTATACATTTTTTTGTGTATTGTGTACAGATAACGTCTTAAGAGGATCTTAAATGAAATATTATTATTATTATTTTCTTAACTCATCGATATTTATAAAAATATCTACTTTCAATGAGATTTCTTTTCTGTCGACAATTAAAGTTGATTAATTATCAAAGAAAATAATAAGGATTAGATAATAGAAATTAAAAATTTGAATCAATATCTATTTCCTAATCTATATCTCTATATTATTAATATATCGTAAACTTATTTACTTCTATTTTCAATGCATAAATCTCACTTGATTATCAACAATTTATTCTATTCTTAGAACGTTTATATTTTTTTGATTATATTAACGTTAAGTCTCGATATCGGTTTATCAATTTTTATAAATAGATCGAAACGTTGTGGACTTTTTAAAATTTCTCTCCGCTTTCATTAACAAAATCGTTTATTATAACTGCTGACAATAAAAAATTTTATTGGAATTCGACAATTAATTATCCATTGTTTCCACGATTTATTCGTTCACAATAATCATCGAAAGCAAAAAGATGGATTAAATTGTACAATTTGCACGAAGAGATTATAATTTTCATTCGATTCGTTTTACAGTAAATTTCAATTGTAACTCAAACGTACATCGCATTGTATTCAATGTACATCACGTTTCGACGATGGATCAAGCGCTTCGGTCGTAAAATTTTCCGATCACCGAAATTTTCCGAAAAGATACGAGAAAGTAGCTTCCTTTCCAGAAAAAGATAAGAAATTGTCCAATTGGAGTAAATAATTTCCAAAGGAAATTTAAAGAACATGCTTACAACGATAGTTAAAACACTTAGTCATTCGATGATGATAATAATAATTGAAGATGATCAGTACCCACTGGTTTATCATAACGTTTTATCCTAGATAATAGATCTAGATTGCTTCGATCATTACTACGTACTTTGATAAGAAAATTACATCACATTGTATAACTTCTTGCCTGTATTTTTATTCGTTCATCGTCATCTTATCGTTTACAATATTTATATCTCTTATTTTTGATGAATTTTTGAGGTAATCGACGATTTATGAATATTCAGCCAAAGGGGACACGTTACGTTATGTTACGATTGTCGTTACAGTGTTGAAATTTATATCATTTTGGAATCATTGCTTGGATCGATTATTTACATTGGTCTACAAGCTGAATTATTATTAACCCCAAGATGTATATTATTTGTGGAGGAAGAGAAAAAATTGAATTATTAAGAGGCATCGATTATTCTCACACCCAAAACGGGCTATAAATCTCGTATAAATCTCTATAACTCGTCCAATCCAATTTCCTTCGCCGATCGTTCCGTGCAAAATTCATCCTTGACCTATCTTAACGTTGCATAACATCGAAAGGGAGACGTGGCATCGATCGTTTTTAAAAAAAAAAAAAAAAAAAGAATCATCGGGGAAAAATTGAATTATCAATTCCGAAACTCCGTCGAGAAACGTGCGTAGTCGGTGACGTAGCGAATCGATGAACTCGATTACACACTTTATCGGGCAATCACAGGGCTTAATGCGGGCCGACCGACAAATTACGCGCGGGATTAATCCCGATGACGATAATCGATCGATCTTATCGATCGGTTCGATCGATGACGATTTAATTAAAATGTTTTTATAATTATTCTCTATATACTTGCGTGTTACGTAACGAGCACGTTATTTATACGATTATATCGTTCGATTACGATTCTTTTTTCCCTCGTATTCGCCTTCTTTCTCCCCTTTTTCAATCGATAAAAAGTTTTCGTCGGCAAAAGTGATATTATTCTTCTTCGTTTATTCCTCTTTCTCTCTCTCTTTCTCTCTCTCTCTTCGTAATTAAAAGAGTCTATTGATAAAATTAAGCTTCTAAGCTTTATCAACTTTTTTTTTTTTTACTTTTTGTCTTTTTCGTGCAGCTCTTAAGTCTAATTTATTTATGATTACGGCGACGTTGATTAATTAGAACTTTTCAACGAAAACTGGTGTATTAACGAGCACGTGTTTTTTCTTTTTTTTTTGCAACACGCCAGAGAAAGAACGTTCGATAATTTATCGATGACCTAATTATAATTCCTGATGAAAAAAGTATCGCTTGCTCGATTCGAAATTCATAAATCGTCGAGTCTGATGACTCAGTTCGTGAACCGATGATCCGAATGACAAACGACAAATAACAAAAATTCGCGGAAATCTATCTATTACAGTTATAGGCGATATTTAAACGAACGACATTATATTTGGTGATATGATTCGAGACCTATTTTTAACATGTATACAACTTTCTGACCGATGCAACAGTTAAGTAAGAAAAAAAGAACGTTCAAAAGAATGTTCGAAAAACCATTTTCCATCTTGGAACATTCTATAAAATCTTGCAGCTTAATAATTGCAAACGCAATATGTAACAAATGAAGAAACTCATTCATTAGTCGTGTTATCACACGGCTGGAAGAGTAAACACAGAGTGTTACAGATCTCGAACTTGTATCGATCGAGATAACAGGTCAGTCCACTTTTCCAACCGTCGCCTCGTTTGCATCGAACTACGTAGAATTCGTTTTCATTGGCTGCGACAAAGCTGAGATGAACTGTTGATAAGCCACTGGTGACAGTCAGGAGAAGCTGATGATGATGATGATGATGATGATGATGATGATCTACGTCTAAACAAACTATCTTCGTCGAAATTGCGCACAAGAGACGAGCAAATATTATAAATTTTACGAGATAACCGGTTGGATCCGCATGGAGGATCTTGGAATTCTTGGATCGTTGCTCGATCGTTCTTTTTGGGATTGAGATTTATCTTCTACCTAGAATAGAATGGATATGGAAATTGGAGATTAGGTTAGGTTAGAGATTAACAGATAATTGACGAAGAAAGAAAGGAAAACGAATAAAATAAAAATTTGCAATTTCTTTGTTTCGTATTTTAATTAATCGAAATTAGAAATTTGACTAATTTTCTTTTTTTCTCATTGATTACAGTTCAAGCGTATGCTGAACAAAGAGCTGTCCCACTTCTCAGAATCCTCAAAATCCGGCAACCAGATATCGGAATACATATGCAGTACCTTCCTTGGTAAGTTTGTCAAAATCTGTTTCTAATTCCTGTATCAATTCTTCCTGTATCAATTGTACAATATGTTCCATAAGTTTTATTCCTTTCGATCGGAAGAAAGAATTTTTTAATTGCTCGTTTGTGTAACCAAATACGAGACGAGACGTAAAACTAATAAGAAAGGAGAGGGAGAGAGAAAAAAAAAAGATAATTTGCCACTTTATCGAGGTCAACACCGGGAGCTGATTTATCAGGGACAATAAGAATAACGTAGACTCTTTTACGCATTAAAAGCCCTTGAAACTCCGTAAATGCATACACATGTTCCACGATCATTCATCCCATTCTATGCTCTTTGTCTGTCGCTCGTTACTTTTTGCTCGTTGAACGAGGAATCGGCTTCTTATTTACGCACACTGCCTCTCCTTTGTTGTTGCAAAGATGCAGATCAAGATTACTTCTCGCATTTTATTATGAATAAAAATTGAAAAATTGAAAAATAACGGTTCCGTACTTCTTCGATGATCGTTAAAAATATTAAACCGAGTTGAAGATTAATTAATTACGCACGCGTTGGGATAATTGATTGAAATTTTGAAAAGATGATTATTTAACCATTAACTTTCTATTCGTTTCGTCATATTAGATAACCGCGATCAATATTATTTTCACCAGTGTGTCTCAACAATTCTATGCGTAAATTATTATTTCCCGATTAAATGCCAATTAAACAAGAACAACTTTCAAAAAAAAAAAAAATACCCTTCAAGAGGATATAAATTCTGTTTCTCATTATTACATAACTGTGAAAGTAACTGAACATAATCAAGAAAAGAGAAAAGAGACGAATCATCTTGATGTAACTAAGCCTCGACCATTTTGCTACATAATAATTTTCTAATTCTTCCACTGTATATACTATATAATACTATATAAAGAATAAAACAGATAAATAATATACTCTAATATACTATACTAAAATACTGTAATCACCGATAATGCTCTATACTTTATTACTACATTATACTAAATATTCTTTTTTATTAAATAATATTCTTATACATTATTATACAACGTCATAAAGGAATAAAAAACAAATTATCTTGTCGTTGA